AGTGAGTGGGTGAGATAGGATGAAGGGCCATTTATTTCACGGGAGTGGAGGAATTTCAGAAATTAAAAGGGAAGACTCATCAATGTGGATATTAAAGTTGCTAAGAATATAAAGAATTCCCCAAATGTGGCTAATAATATTGAAAATATTAATTTAAGATACACTGTTATCTTCCTCAGCATGCACAAATCTTACATTGTTCACTAGGGCACTTCACTATAGGTATATGAACTCATGAAACCAGTTAACACAGACCCTTGTGCATGTTGTCTCTGCTCTGCATCTCCATAAGGAATCTTTATGTTCCTCTAGACTAGAAGCTACATTGCAGTCATTCTTTTACATATTGCTTTTCCTAACCCAACAGTAAACCCTTTAAGGACAAAGATGATACTACTATTCATAATCGCCTCTGAGACTGGCATAGTGGCTCAATGGGTACATAATAGGTATTTGTTATATGTAGTCTATGGTGGTTAAGAGCACAAATTCTGAAATCTGACACAACTGGGTTCTAATCTTATTAACCACATACCCCTGGAAAAGACACTTAAGCCCATTACCTCATCTATAAAATGGGGGCAACAATAACACCCCCTTACATGGATTTGGTATGGAGTCAGTGAGATGGGCTTTACATGTAAAGTGCTCATTATAGTCCCAGTACATAGAATGCAATTAGTGACCTTTGACTACCAATGAGTGAAGACAATAAAACTTCATATTTGACCGGGTTGTTTCCAGAGTGGTATACCTCCACATCCGCCACACTGGGCTACAGTCCTTCAGAGTAGAAGGGTGTCGGGAGCAAGCTGAGTGGTAGCCAGTGATCCATAACACACCCAGGGATAAATGAGGAAAGAATAATTGTATTTTTTACTCATAGAGCAGACTTCATGAGCTCTCTTAGCAAAGGTGTGCACCTCTCCGTACACAGCCCGGGAAATGCAGTGTCTTTGTTTCCATAGCTACTCTATGAACTGAGTGGTGTAGCCAGTTTCCGCTTCTGTGTTGTCAGTGATTACATTATTGAATCACATGTTGACTAAACTGGAGCGCGCAGATATGGTAAATGCATATATATATATATATATATATATAAGCATGGAAACTATTTCATGAAGATCCACTCAAAGAAACATTCCCATACTCTTTTGTTTTCAGGGAAACCAGGACAGACCCAGAGCAAGGTGAAGTAGCTAAAATGCATATTTTCTCCTGCTAGTGTAGCTAGTGTAGTGAGCTGTTCCTCATTAAGCCTCCCATCCTTTTGATTGACCAGAAAACTGTGCTGTGGATCATCAATTTCACCTTCTGTCTGTATTCTGTATTTTCTCCCTAAGCTCAGATCTCACTGCTCTGAGACGCTGGGGGCTGAGATAATGAGTCTAGACTGCTCATTTTCTGTGTCTAGCAGATGGGAGCACCTGTCATGTGTGGGCAGACCGCCTCTCTAGAGGTCGGGCAGTGGTGGTGATTCGGACCCTCTCTCTTTCTAAATGCCACAAGGTTGTACAATTAAGGGAGAATCAAAACATCTTATGTCAGCCCTTAAAGCAATTGAAAAGCATCTCTTCTTGTACTTGAAGTTAGAATTTTGGTAGAATTACTCTGGATTGAAAACTTGAATCATAAGAAAGTTTTCATTCAGTGGGCCAGAGGTTTTTAGAAAACAATCTAGACATTTTTACACTCTCTTTATATTTCTACAGGTTCAAGCTGACATCAACCAAGTGCTCTCTCTCTATATTTTTTGTAGCCTATGTATTTACAGGTGTGTGTGAGAGGGGCCATGGGGCAGGGAGGTGACTTTCAGGAGTCTATTTTTTTAATGCTAGTATCAGATTGAATCTGAAACTGTTTTTTATTCCAGAGGCAATTCCATTGTCACCTGTTACTTGCTTTTACGTATAGTTCTCCCAGGAGGAGGAAGCTGTTCCTTTGCATATATCCCTATGCAGAAAAACATCGGAAGAATGAGCCAGAAGACCTAAGTACTAATTAGCCACAGAACAGTTACCCAATAAGCAGGTGACTTTGGGAAAATCCTATTGCCTCCTCAAGCCTCCCTTCCATTTTAGCAGAATTAACAAATTAGCTGTCTTCTACTAGAAGCAATGCAGTAGAGTGGTTCTGCTTTTTGCCTGGAATCAGATGACCTGGTTCAAATCTTGGATTCAAAACTTTAAGAACTATATAGGACTTTGGTTTTATCACCTGTAAAATGGGGATAATAGTTGTACCTAGTTTATAAGGATTGAGGCCTTCTGTTGTGTAGCGCTCCGATGGCCCGTCAGTGGGCCATGATCTTTGGGTAGGTTTATTCAGCTAATTTTCAATCCTCCTAACGTAAAAATAATAGAGCTCTTAGAACACTGGCATATAGCATTAAAGTGTTAGTTGCTCTTGTTGTTATACCTCTAAGATGTCTTCCACCTTAAAATTTTCTTTTATTTAACATCCCTTGCTGCTTTAGTCCCCACTCTTTTTATCTAGTGGGTAGAGCCCAGAGATGACGCTAGACATCCTATAATGCATAGGACAGACCTTCTCTCCACCAACGAAGAATTACCCTGCCCTTGAGGATTGCTGGAGCAGGGAATTGTTTAAAGGCTGCTTTGAGAATCTCCTGGAGATGAATTTTCTTTTTCTTTGCCAAAGAAGTATGTATTGGCAGTGGTGATGTTTTTGGCTCCACGTGAATGGGGATTTTGTGTCCTTAAGTTTCCAGTGGGAAAGCTCAGAAAGTTGGGAGGAAGCAACAAAAACCTACTCTGCCCCCCCACAAATAACGCTTCTCTCAGCAGTGTCCACGTGTGCTCTCTCCCTTATTTCCGTACTTTGCGGCCTCTTTGCTCTTCACTTGGGACACAGCATCCATTTACTGCACATGCCCTCATGTTTCTTACCTCTTAAAATGCTATTCAACCTATAAATGGGAAAGGACTCAAGCATGATTTTTCCCATGATGGTTTTTGAAATCCTCCAAGTGTTTCCTTTGTCCCTCAGGCTCCCAGAGCCTAGTGATTTGCAGCTCATGACTGGTCTCCTATCCTGCCTGGTATTTCAAGTGTTGTTCCTGCCTAGTCACGCCTCTTAAGTGAGAAGTCCCTGGAAGGTGGGAGTTGCTTCTCATTCTTTGAATCCTGTAGAATTTAGCACACTGTGTTGTACCCAGTAAGGGCTCAACCAACAGTAGTTGAATTACCGTATTGTCCCTATGACTAAGTTCTACTCCCGCCGGACCCTGCGGGTGGCCATGACGCCCCTTAGCCTGCACAGGATTCCTGTCTCAGTGTTCCTAGTTATTACCTTCACAACCTCCACACTTAACCCTCCCTCCCTCCTCTCCTCTGTTGATCGAAGTGCAAGCTATTTTAGGAATGCAGCACAAAGTGGCAGCTGCTATTTATAAAGTAGGAAGTGGTCTGTAGTCCCCTGTGGGTCACATGTCTATCCATCTTCATTTATATTTGAAAGAGGTATTTCCTGCAAGTCCTTGTGATTTCCTTTGTTCCCACCACAACCCCCACCCTACTCATGACCCCAATTGTGGGGGATTTTCATTTTATTTTTGCCTTGGCTTTAATTTTCCATTTGATTTGGATTTCTTCCCTATTCCTTCTCTCTTCTCATAAAAAACAGAAGCAAGAGAGAAAACCCTCACTAAGCTATGTAAATGTCTTTTTATGAATTGGACCTGGAGATGAGAGCTTCATTACTAAAGGAAAAATGAACCTCTGCTCCTATGATTTGGTAATGGAAATGTGGTATTTTATAAAGTCTTAAGCACTTTTTTTTTTTTTTTACCATGGTAATATATAAACCATTTAATATTCTAATCACTTGCTATTGAAGAGTGGAAGACATGGTAATAGTAGCTTTATTTTTAGTGCTGAGGAACAAAATTAAATTTGGGTCAGCTCATAAATATGCAGTATTCACACACATATGTAGGAATTGTGATTCAGACATACACAGTGGAGAAATACTATTTAGATTGTGCAGATTCATAACTTCAGGACCTCATGAGTAATGGGATTCATTATTTCAGGTCTTTAAAGAACTTATGAACTCAGCCCCCTGACACTTCAACTTCCCCACTCCCATCTAACCTCATTTCTGCCAGGGTTATAATTTTAAAGATAATCACATGTCTTATTTCCTTAAAAACATCTGTCAGTTCTCCACTATGTAAACAGGGGGTCCAGAACTCCTTAGTGTAGCAGAAAGGGGTTTTATACTCCACTGCTATAAATCCCTTTACCTCCTCTCCCTTTCCAGCATTCAATACACATTTTACTCCAGCCATAGCAAGGGGCTGTGGACCCCTTTTTGCCTTTGGTTTTCTCAACAACAACTTTCCATTTTCCTGGAAGGCTCTGCTTGTCCCTAGGCCCCCATCTCCTCTTGATCTGCCCCTACACTTCCTTCTATGACGTGATAAATGTGAAAAGGACTAGCAGAGGACTTGGTGCAGAGCAAGGGGTCAGTAAATAAATGTTCAGTGAATGAATAGGTAACTGAGTTGGCAAATTCAAAGGGAAGGTCTGTGTCATATGAATGGATTATGTTCTTGATATTTGTCAGTTTAACTATGTCATATTTAACTGAGCATGACTTATCCATGTATAATGTTTTTATATGAAAATATACATTCTTTCCTTCCTGGAAAGCTCTCTGTGGCAAAAGAGGACCCTCTTCATCAACAGTTTTCACAGTAATCATTGCCCTGGAGGCTGCTGCTCTATCAGCCTGGGGGAGCAGCAACCCTGGGGGTGGGAAAGGAAGGGAAGTTTGGGCAGGAAGGTTGATACTCAGGAGTGGGGCTCTGGGGACCGGATGCCTGGGATAGCAGAGGTTCTGACAGAGGTTTATGTTAATTTGCTAGCGCTGCCATAACAAAGTACCACAGGCTGGGTGGCTTGAACATCAGAAATTCATTTCCTCACAGTTTTGGAGGTTAGAAGTCAGAAGTCAAGATGCCAGCAGGGTTGGTGTCTTCTGAAGCCTCTCCCTTTGGCTTGTAGATGGCCATCTTCTCCCTGTGTCTTCACACGGTCTTCTCTCTGTGCGCATCTGTGTGTTCATTTCCCTTATTATAAGGACACCAATCAGCTTGGATTACAGACCATCCTAATAACCTATTTTAACTTAATGATCTCATGATTTCATCTCAAAAAGCAGTCACATTCTGAGGTACTTGGAGTTATAACTTCAGCATATGAATTTGTGGGGGGGATCCAGTTCAGCTCATGAGAGGATGATAATGGCGACCTCAGTGGCTCCTCACAGGAAGGCCTGGAGGGCAGAGATGATGCCGTCAGCATTCTTCACAGTGGCTTAGTCATGGTGGGCATTTGGTACAGGTTTTGGAAATGAGTTATGGCTTCCACTTAGTGAAGTAAGATTCTGATTGTGGCCCTCCAATAGGTACATGAGCTTTTCCTCTCAGCTTTTTATTCATGTATGAATTTTATTAGAATTTTGTTGACCTTCTCATTTAAATAATTGTTAAAAATACTGACCATGATCAAGAATTGAGGCCTTCTCTTGTGCAGCCTTCCTGTGAATTGAACAATGAGCCATGATTTTTAGGTAGGTTTATTTAGCGAACTTAAAGTCTACCTAACTGGGTTGCCATGCAGGCCACGTTTCTTCACAAAGATGTTTAGTTTACATGTTTATTTCACCAAGAGTCTTCACAAAATTTTTATAGATGAGTTTATCACTACCTGATTCTTAAAAAGGACTTGAGGTGGCTCTTAGAATGTAGACACAGTATGTCTCAAGTATCATCTTCACTTATCCCTTTTATGACCTTGTTGCAGATGCCAGTAATGTTGATCCAATTTGTTTGACTTGTTCTCAGTGAACCATGCTGGTGCCTAGTAATTGCCATTCTCTTGAGTCCACAAACCACATAAAGTCACCTTTCTGGAACACTGACCTCTACTTCCCTGGTCTGCAGCTCCCCAACGACACATGATCATCTACATTGAATAGACAGGTAGGGCTAAAGTGTAGAGATCTACACAGCTGTTCCATGGGCCATTAGGATTACCTGGAGTCATACTTGAAAGGCTTAATGGGGAATAATGTCCTAGGACAGCCATTCAGTAGAACTTGTATTGATGGAAAGATGGTAAGAAAAGCTCAGATCTGAGAAACATGACTTGTTTGATCTCAGTCTCATCATTATTCTTTTGACCCTAGATTACATATTCATTCATATATTGATGAATATTCTCAGTCTAGAAGGCAAACTCCCCGAGGGCAAGAAGTTTGCCTGTTTTGTTTGTTCCTATTGCTAGCAGTTGGATAGGTTTCTGATATTAAACAGTCACTTACCCTGATGCTAAAATTGCTCCTATGTCTAATGATAATACCAATATTTGTTCTATCTAACCTCAAGGTCTTTGAAAACATCTTAATGAGATGTGAAGGCAATTTATAAACCATAAAGTGGCTTGTAAAGATAAGCAGCTATCAGGTATGTAATTTTGAAAGGCAAGAAACGAGATAAGGAGACTATATGATAAAGAGCTTGCTGTCACATATGGAGTTCAGACTTGATGGAGTACGAATCAAAACTTTAAAGGAATCCATTCATTTGCTGGGTTGCCAACCCACAACTCAGCTTTAAAAAAATGTTGAATTTGATTAGAAAAATCTGAAAGTAGCTATAACTGCATTTGAAAGCACAAATTAACTGAATTTGTGAGTGACACACATGAACTTCACTTGTATCACTTCCCTCGTAGATGAATTCTTTGTGTGAGAAGTGTCCTTTGGCAAAACCTCAAAGGTGGCTGAGAATTCCTTGAAGTAATTTGTTTAAATAATCACATGAGAAGATCCCGCTTAAACCTCTCTGTAAGCAAACAAATGCCACAAAGAAGAATGAATTTCATACCTTTTAGGAGGCCATTAATTTATTTTCAGTGGCATTAAGTAATGAACACTCTTACAGCAAGGTCACAGTTCCATTTTATATCAAACAGCTATCCTTCCTCATATATGATACATGAAGCACATTTCTTACTCAGGGCAAAATGTTTTATTAAAATCATTTCCTTTGTTCTTTTGTATAGACTGTTCTTTGTGACAATAAAGATTGTCTGCATGACATATCTCTTTAGGACAGCCATTGTATAATTATACTAATAGAGCTTAATCTAATGCAACATTAATTTTCTTCCATTATTTTCTCCAGGAAGGAAGCCACTATTGTTTACATGACAATGCAATTTCTTTCTTTTTGTTTTCTTTTATCTATGAGAGGTTTATATTAGGGGCAGTAGAGGAAATAAATCTCAGGGTTTGGGAAGCCTTCCTCAATTCTCTGGGTGCAAAGGATCGCTGATAGTTACAGAGCAAAATAGAGCAATCATTATATCCTACCTCCCTGCCCTCACTACCATGATTCTATTATTCAGCCATTTTTGATGAAAGGGAAAAATCCCATCCTGTAGCAAACAGGAGTGTATGGCCAGGCTGTTTGACTTTAGAACCATCCCCTCTATCCCTTGGACTTGAGTTTTTACAGCCTTTCACCCAGAGTAGTGCAAAAACCTCTCACTTGGTCTTTCTACCCATCTTTTGCTCCTTTAATCCACCTTCTCTGTGGCCTGAGAGATTTTCCTAAAATGTCAATCTGATCATGTCATTCATTAAAGTTCCCTAACTCCTAGGTACGGCTTATAAAGCTCTCCATACCCTGTCTTCAGAGTGTCTTCCAGCGTTTATCCTCATCTCCCATAACTAGCATTCCCAGATACCCACAGGGAAAGCCCAAATGCTCTTCCACTCTGAAAGTCCTGTGTAATGCAAAGTGAAGTAATGGTGTTATCTTTTTATGCACTGATGCCACTTTAAGTATCAATCAGGTCTCTAGAGAGCAATTATATAGAATTCAACATTTCTAATAATATGAATGATGTAAGGAATGAAAACTAATTTGTCTTTATTTTGCATTTTTTTCACCCTATAATGAGGTCCATGGTAGCTCTCAGTAAAAAGTGAAACATTTGGAGATGAGATTAGTAGTGTTCTATTTCAGGAGGTAATAGTTTAAGAATTAAAAGAGAAACTGATACCACCTAGGAAATATTAGAGGGAATTTTCTTGAAGGCAAGTGTGGTATGGTAGTTAAGACCTGAATGGAGCCTGAATTCTTAATGTCTTAGTTTACACATGGAACACTTATGTGCTAGGTAAAGTAGCGATGGGTATTACAGTGATGACTCTCAAGGAATCCTGACTCTTAGATGCAAATATTTGTTGAGTTCTCTCCTATTTTGACCCTAGGTTTGGGACATTAGCAATGTGATACAAACAAGCTTAAAGAGTGTGTCTTCATTAGACCTTTCCCTTTGTTGCTTCTCACTGAGAACCCTTTTGCCACCAACTGAAGAAATCTGGGCTAGCCTCCTTGAAGATGAGAGATCATACAGAGAAGTCCTACTGGCCCAACCCCCCTAGATATGCAAGTAAGCCTAACCAGCACCACATGGAGCAGAGATGAACCATCCCAGCTAAGCACAGCTCAAACTGCTGACCACAAAAATTAGGAACAAATATGTGATTATTTTTTAAATCATTATGTTTTGGAGTAGTGTACACAGCAGTGGCTACTGACACACTGGAAAGCCAAGTTACCTAACTTCTCTTAGACCCATTTTATCATGTCTAAATGGGGATAGTTTTAGTAACTTAGGGTTGTTGTGTAGATCAAATGAGATAGTTCATTCAGAGATCTTAGCACAATAAGTGATCAATAAATATTAGTTATGACATATTTTATATCAGTAAGTATCATAGTGATTAAAATATGATTTTATTTCACTAATGTTGGGCATGAAATACAATGTTTCATATTTCTTATACAATTTCTGATATATTATCTACTTTTCATATGTGAACAAATAGAAATTAAATGATATGCTTGATAAGAAAGTGTTTCCCAAATTTGGCTTCTTTGCGTGTGGAAGAGATAATGAAACTCTGGTTTCACTTTTTGAGTAAGGTGCCACAAAAAAGGTAAAGGACTCTGTACATTTTGTATATGGTCCTCATCCTTGGGCAGATTTTATGGCCCTCAATAATCTATATCATTATTTATTTCATTTTTTATCTTGTATTTTATGTGTTTCTAAGTTACCTCAAATTCTTTTTAAAAATTTTTGAAGAGGAATTTAAAGAAGAATAAATATAAAAATACTACCTGAGTAATGATATGGTCCTCCAAAGAGTTTATGATGTTAAAGTTGAATAAGGGCAATATGTGAAGGGTATTGTATTTTTATGATTTTCTAGGAGAGTGAAAATTTATTTCTATGGCTATGCAATAGTTTAAATCCTTTAGAATAAGAACCTGTGCTTATAATGATGAAAACAATAAATATTCTAATTCAAAGTTAATGCCTCTGAAATACTGTGTGGCCTTGGTCACACCATTTCTGAGATGAATATCAATAATAGATTTTTAAAATTTCTAGCTAAATCTATGTGCTCTCTGTTACCTTCTGGATTTAATTAAACTTTTTTTTTTTTTTAAAGTTTATTTTTTGACAGAGAGAGACAGCATGAGGGGGGATACAGAGAGAGAGGGAGACACAGAATCCGAAGCAGGCTCCAGGCTCTGAGCTGTCAGCACAGAGCCCAACGCGGGGCTCAAACTCCCAAACCATGAGATCATAACCTGAGCCAAAGTCGGATGCTTAACCGACTAAGCCACCCAGGAACTCCTCTTGATTTATTTAATTTCTCTGAACTTCTGTTTCCTGGTCTGCAAAATGGGATGATAGCATTAAAGTATGCATACATGAATCGCCTGGGGATCATCTGAAAAGTCAGATTCTGACTCAGTAGATTTGTGGTGAGATCCAAAATTCTGCTTTTGCAACAAGCTCCCGTGTTTGCGGTCCGTGTTTACGGTCTATGCCCATACTTTGAGCAGCAAGCATGGAGAGCATGGGTTGGCAAATTATGGCCCATAGGTCAAATCCAGCAGTTGCCTGTTCTTGTAAATGAAGTTTTGCTGGAACGCAGCCATGCTCACTTGTCTATGTATTGTTTA